TACCTTTTTATAGTCCTAATCCATGCAGTCTCTTTTCACACATGATTCCTGCCATTCCAGGAACCCAAATCTGCTGTACAAATGGAACTTTTTGTCTCATTTCAAATCAAGAGGAGCTTTTGGACAATGTACATGAAGTGAAACTGTATCTCCATATGAGTCAACACATTTTTAGGAAAGGCGGAAAACATTTGGGGCTGAGCACAGTGAGGAGGAATAATAACTTCAGAATATTCGGAGTAGACAGTACTTTACTGTTACAGAAGAAATAGGCCACTCTGCTAATGAAACTTCATTATCCTTTTATATGAATAGGTTGTTGATTTGAGAAGAGTATCATGCCAACATGCTTTGTTGAATCAACCCAAATTGGTTTGCAACAACCAATGAATGTTTGTTTTGTTCAGAGCTGTGCTTCAATGAGTTGAGTCAGTGAGTGGTTTTTTTTAAATACTTGAACTGGTCTAACTATTACTTCAAATGTCTGACTTTTTTTGGAGAATAATTTTGATTTTATTTTTCCCTGCTCTGTCACTTGAAATCAAATTTATTAAACTTGCTAGCGTATATTTGAGAGATTTGAGCAAAATTAGTGTTTTTGTTCCCCCCTGCCCCCCAACCCGCCACTTGTATCTGGTTAACAACATTTTAGCATATCATATTGAACTAAAAGCATCAATTTCTAAATATTCATTTAAAGCATGTTGTTATTTTGTGTAAATTTGAAGTGGAAGGCCTAGACAGCGGCCAGAGGAGAGGTAACTATTCCTAAACAACTTAATTTTGTGCTCAGAATAAGTTTGTGAAAACATGGACTAGTATCTATTTTTCCTCCACTCCCTTTTTTTCCCAAAAAATGGTGACTTCACTAGGATGTTATTCTATACACAGCAGTTGCTCTCTGCTGTACTTCACCCGGTGATATGGGGAAATTAAGAGCCAGTAGCAAAAGCAAAGTTGCTGGAAAAGCTCAGCAGGTCTGGCAGCATCTGTGGAGGAGAAAACAGAGTTAACATTTCGGGACAGTGACCCTTCCTCAGAACGAGCCAGTAGTCTTTTAGGGACATCACATCCAAGTTGTATTCTATTACCATTATCATAGCCAGGTGTGTACTTTTCTAGCAGGAGTGATAGGATAAGCAAGTGTGATAACTGACTTGTCTTTTTCTCCCAAATTGTCTAATTCATTTCTGAAGAAGAGTCCCGACTCGAAACATCAACTTTCCTGCTCCTCTGATGCTGCATGGCCTGCCGTGTTCCTCCAGCTCCACACTCTGTTATCTCTGACTCCAGCATCTGCAGTTCTTACTATCTCTGTCTAATCATACTGCCTTGTTTGCTATCCTATTTGTTAGCAATTAAATTGGAGACCATCTGTAGAGAAATCCCTGAAGTAATGATATATCTTTGCTTGTATAAGGTTTGTTTTATCCAGCTGATTTTAGTAGGTATTGAGAATATTGATCAGCATTCAATGTGTGGGGTATTGTTTTCTAAAATCAGGAATGGCGTAGTGGGAGAGTTTCCTGTGTCTGTTTTAAAGAGTATAGAATTTATGCACTCAAATAAGCCACTACTGGACTGAACCAAAACTTACTGATGTTTACATTCTTATCTGGAATAGTATACTCCTAGATGCGATTCAGAATTTTGTTAGGATCTTTGTTAGGACCAATGTCTTTTATATTTAAAAGAAAACTAAAAGCCCAGTTATTTGTTGAGAAATGAAATATCAAAATTTCACTGTTTAAAACAATTCATATTGTACATAGGTTTGACGGAGCAAACATTAAATACTGACTTTGGTAATCTTCTCAGAATTTCAGCTCATCTTCTAGAACTTAGCCTGATTCTCCAGCCCATAGCAGTGCACAGAATTCCACAGCACATTCTTCTTCAGCAAAGAGAAAAAATATCTGCAGAACTTCCTCAACGCTGTTTGGAAGCTGCAGCAGCTGTATTTGGGTTTGGTCTGAGCTTTATAATTTGGTTTTAGTCACTTTCAGATTGTGTACTGCCCAATGGACTTGATCAACTTCTAAGGTTTATAGTTTTCAACTGGTTCAGTTTCCTGTCAGTGGTTTAGTTTCCAATCTTAATTTAAATCTTTGTTTCTTAGTGACTGATCAAGCCAACTTGACTTCCATTTCCAGTCAGGGTTTCAAATCCAATCTTTGATCATGGATTCCATTTGCAGAACAACAGACGTTGGAGTCTAGATGGGTGATTCTTTTTCTTTTGTAATTGGTTCCATTTGGAATTCCTTTTAATGAGGCACCAGTGACCAGAGATATTTAACTGGACCAGTTTCTCACTGTGGCTACAAGAACAAGTCAGACAGAAGGCATTAATTGGCAGTGACTTGCATGCTGACCACCCAGAGATCTGGCATTAGTTACAGGGGACAAGCCAAGCATATGATGGAGATTCTCTACTTGTTTTGCTTGAGTGCAATTTCAATGTAAATACTTGACACTGTCCAAGACACAGCAGCCCTCTGATTTGCACTGTATCTGCAACTGCCACTTTAATTTGTTTAGCCCATTACTGGCTTGCCATGGCTACATTTTGTGCTTGTCACCATATTAACTTGAAATATACACTTGAGTCAAAATCCTGCAACTCCCTGCCAACAAACCGTTTTGTTTTGTTTTGTTTTTTTTTTTGAAAACTTAATAGATCTTTTGCATGAGGTGACTTGCAGACCAACCTGTGTGCTGGTTTCAAGGGAACATTCAGATTGATGTGCAGTTGTGCAGTAGTGGACTGTTACCTAAAAAGAACTGTAAGAGTATCTTTCCTGCACCAAATACAGCAGTTTAAGGAGGCTTGCCATAATTATTTAGGAGCCTTTTGCCAGCAACATCCAGATCCTGTGAATGGAAATAAAGCAATTCATATGTACTGTTTCCTACCTGAAGGAATTCCACAATTGTTCTTGTGTTGTGTTCATAGCTGAATATATAAATGCTTAGTTTATTTTTATATGAAGGCTGTACAGGAATACCTTTTGCAAAAGACTGATCAGGTTAGAAATTTTAAATCCAATCTAATGCAACATTAAGTGCTATTGCAAATATATCAATACAGCAAGCATTTTATTAACCGGAACCCATGGGAGTAGTTGTGTGCCAGTTGATCAAATACTCCGGACAATCAAAAATTATGTGTAGTAGCAGTAAACCCTGACGAAGCAAAGCTTTGAGACATCCACATCCCTCAAAATCTGTAAAAGCATCAGTGCACCTCCTAAAATCAATGTAAAAACACACAGTAAGTTATAGAAATGTAATGCAGAGGGTATACACATCACTGTTATGCTTTATTTACAGTGTCAGCAAGTAAAGGGTGGTGGGGAAAGCTATCGGCTCACTTTCAATGAATGATCATCTGGAACTGATCCAGTTTCCTGATTTAAAAGGAACCAGCAGGTGTATAAGCACCTAGTCCAAAAATCTGAAGTTCAGAAACTTTGTTACAGTGGACTTTATACCTGCAGTTCTGCAGTGAATGAGCCAGCAGCTGATGGGAGAGAAGTGATGGTCATCCTCAAGAAGTGAGTAGGTCAACACATCTGCAGGAAAAAGTACTGAAAGGACCTTCACATGGCTGCACTTCGTGCGGTGCTATTCTAAAGAGTCAAGCCTGCTGTGGTCAAGAAAAAGTGCACTTGGGCTTCCAAGAGTGCATAAACTTGTAAAAGATGGACGTGGCTTATCATTAAAGAAGATTCCGAGTAAGAAAATAAATGCTCAGACACCATGGTTGATCATGATATTGGAGGTGTATAATTTTCGCTGGTTTATCAAGAGTACCGGTTGATAAGGTGCCAGTTAAAACGAAGTTTGCAGTATATATCAATTTGGTCCTGCTGTGGTAATGTCACTGGGCTGACAATGCAGACCCTTAGGTTAACTATCTATATTCATGAAGTGGAGGCCCTACTGTTGGACCAAGGTTACAGTCTAGCAGGTTTAATTGAAATCACAAGCTTTCAGAGCGCTTCTCCTGTGATTCCAAATTAACCTTTTGGACTAAAACCTGGTGTTGTGACTTCTGATGAAATTCATGAATGAAAATCTCACTGGCAGGTAGTGAAATTTGAATTCAATTTTTAAAATAATTAAATATTAAAACAAAAAATCTAGACTAAAGACGACCATATAACCTTGGTCAGTTGTCATAAAGACCCATCTGGCTCACAAATGTCCCTGGAAGGAAATATGGGGAGGTGATGGCCTCGCAGTATTATCACTGGACAGTTAATCCAGAGACCCAGATAATGTACGGGACACATGGGTTCGAATCCTGCCACGGCAGATGGTGGATCTTAATTCAATACGTACCTGGAATTTAGAATCTAATGATGACCATGAATCCATTGCTGATTGTCAGAAAAACCTATCTGGTTCACTAATCTCCTTTTTAGGGAAGGAAACTGCCACCCTTACCTCGTCTGGCCTACACGTGACTCCAGGCCTGCAGCAACCACGACTCTTACTGCCCTCTGGGCAGTTATGGATGGGCAATAAATGTGACTCCCACATCCCGTAAAGAAAGAAAAAGTCTCCCTTTTTCTATTTGTTCTACTTGTGGACTTGACCCATTTAAATGATTTGACATTTAAATGACTCCTTTGCAATTAGGGATGGACATTGTATGCTGTCTCAGCCAGCGATATCAATATCCTATGAATTAATTTTAAAGAAGCCATAAAATAAGAATATCTATATTGGCTCTCTTTTATTGTAGACTTAATTTGGGCCTGCATTAAGATAAAACTGACTCTTGTGAATTTCAGATTTTAATATTTTGTAAATAACTTGAAAATAATTCTGTACTTGTGTTATCAATCTCCATCTTGTATACCAACTAATTTGGAACCAAATCAACATTCAGCACCTTTTTGAAGTTTTGTTGTGAGGTTTCCTGCTGGAAAGGGTGACCTAAAACTGGCTTCTCAGTTTATGCCTCACGTAACTTTCTTTATTTTCGTGTAGGTCGTCTAAACTACACACATCCAGGATCAGACAGTCCTCTTTCTATTAATGGTAAGTATTTATCACAACTTTACAGTGCCAGTTCTTAATGCTGAAATTGGACCTGTAATGCTCACCAATCACCATCATGTCACAATGGTGCACCAATAGAAATTGAACCTTTTCCAAGCACTGAATATCTCAGTTCAGTAAGTTTTTGTTCTGAAGATAGCTAAAAGTATAACCCTTCATTTTTTGTTTAAGATCCATGCCATTTAAGCCTACTTTGCTACTCTTCACTGCCAACCTTGAGCCATTATTGAATAGATGAAAACTAGAGTACACAGTGAAATGTACCTCGTACACTAATTTCTTAAATTTTTATGTAATGGCAAATCTTAGAACTGCGCTGAGTATCAACAATAATAAGCTGTGTGAGAGGGAGGTTCATGTCATGCTCAGACTCTGGACTATGGAATTCTATTTCTCATCTTGGAATAGCATCACAGAAGAAGTAACTTCTGTCTTGTATCATTCTATCATGCCTGTTCTGTCTGTTAAAGTTGTTCAATTAGTCCCTTTCCCTACCTTTCAGCTATTTCCTCTCTAAGTATGTGTCCAAGATGCTTATGAAAGCTGTTTAATCTACTTTCACATGCATTTTGGATCATTACAAGGTTGCCCTTCAAACAGTAGAAATAGATTTTTCTTAATTACTCTATAAATGCTTCATGATTTTGATCAGCTATCTCCAGTCCTAAGAAGTATAGATCCATCTCCTCTAATTTGCCTAAGTAACTGGTTCTTAACTCGCATACAGTAAAGAAATTAGATAAAACCATGAAATGCACGATGAAAAGAATCAGTTTGACGGGTAAGAGTATAAATCAACCTTAAATTCTTATGAATTTATAAACCTATACAATGGAACTTGGGAATCTTGTTTATAAATTTCATACAGTTGGACAGCCAAAGTATTTCTAAAGTTCAGAATGACCCATTGGTAGTTAGTGAGATTTGAAATTGACAAAACTTCCTGAAAAACAAAGTTATTTTTCTTGCGAGTTTGTTGTAATCTTTGTCACAAATGTATTTTTGAAGTCTGGAGGGAAAGTGATGTTACCACCAAGCTGTGCACTGTGTAGTAGCCTAGAAGGTTCCTTGCAGTTTTTATTCTGTGATGAATATCAGCTGGACAAAGGTAACAGGACCTTGCACTAACAAAAAGGTCACAAGTAATATTTTTAAAGGGAAAAAGCTAACTGGGATTGGGTATATCGGTTAGTGTATAACAAAGCATCTGTAAGAGAAACTCTAGTACATTTATTTCTATTACACTTGACACCTTAGTACATTATCTAAAATTTTTTTGACAGGTACAGGCATGTCATACATGAATTATGTTGGCAAATTGTACTGCACACAACCCATTATTTCTAGATTCCTACATTCTCCGTATAGTCTAAATTTTAATGCTTATTGTGTTGTGGAGACTAAGTGGTTTAAAAAAATAAATAAAAAGCAATTGCTGAAAATTTGATAGTATCTGTCGAGAGAAATAGAGTTAGTCTTTTAATGTGGCTGTGAAGAACTCTAGAACTTGGAAAGTACCATTGCTAGAAGTTGAAAACCTGGTTAGGGTATGCTGCGACAGAAGATAATGAGAATAGATCGTTACAAATAATGAAAGGAAGAGATAAACCAGAGTGATGCTGCCGATTTATTGATTTGTGTATGAGTCGTTCCAAGGAATGTTAGTGTATTTGCATGATTTCCCAATCCTTGTGTTAGAGTTCACTTTTTAAATTAATAATATTTAAGCTATAGAAATGGTCCATTCCTAACACAAGTAATCTGAATTCAAGCTTTGTGGATACAAGAGGTGTAGTCCCATTCTTAATACAGCACTGGTAAAATGGTGAGTTTTGAAAGGTACCGTGTCACCAAAAATCCTCAGACAGCGCCTTCCGAACCCACAGCCACTTCCATCTAGAAGGTCAAGGGCAGCAGATACATGGCACCACCATCACCTTCAAGTTCCCCTCCAAGCCACTCACCATCCTAACTTGGAACTGTATCACGATTCCTTTACTGTCTCTAGGTCAATATCCTGGAATTCACTCCCTAATATAATGGTGAGTCAACCCGCAACAGGTGGAGTGCAGCAGTTCAAGAAAGCAGCTCATTCCCAACCTCTGAAGGGCAACCAGGGGCAGGCAGGCATCCCACAAAAAAAGAGGAAATATTTCACAATTCTTTGGTGAAATTAAATTTGATTTAAGAATGATTCACTGTCAAGATCTTCAGAAAAATTGTTTTCATAGCTTCAATTTAGATAATCATATGAAGTCAGTTACTCTTTAATATTACATATTTTTATAATATCACTGAAGAATTTGGTTTCTATCAGATGAGGTATTCATGCTGTACCTTAAATGCTTAGTTAATTAAAACTCATTATTGGATCCACTCCTTTTTTTAAATTTGCAGATTAAAGGTCATAAACCACATTGCTTCTGATGAATGTGCATAAACTATTTTAACAGCACAACATGCATCATTTTAGGGTTTTCTTTATTTAAAAACACTAGTCATATTTCATACTGTGACTAGAATGAAAGCTCATTGTAGTTAACAGATGACAGTACTGAGAAGTGACTGAGGAGGATTCTAGGAAAATTTAGCTCGGTCACCACCACTGAGAAAGGGGGTCGTGGATGACCTGGTGCTAAACATGAGGGTGAGCATCCAATAAAGGGCAGTCGTGAGAAGTGACTGAGGAAGATTCTGGGAGATTTTTTCAATCCTACTGGCAGCATATAAAGGGGAGGAAAGTGGGAGTGGCCATTTCGGACAGGGGATGTTGAGGTCAAAGTCTGGCTTTGGTGAGCGTCTGGTTTTACTGGAGGAGTTGGGGTGGGGGGGGTGGGGGCGGTGGGGAGGGCGGGTGTGGGGCAAGCAGTATGAAGACAGAGCAAGGTAAGGTCTTTCCTTATTTTAATCCAGTAGTTGCTAGAGGGGTGATAATGGCAGTTAGTGGAGTGTTATGCTCCTCCTGTGAGATGTGAGAAATCCAGGGGAAGCCAAGTGTCCCTGACAGCTCTCTGCGGAAAGTGTGTCCACCTGCAGCTCTGTCCTGACCACGTGTATTGGTTGAAGCGGCATCAAAGGTTCAGCCAGATAAATGGATAGGAGGGGCAGACAGATAGTGCAGGTATACTGTGTGGCTGTTCCTTCTCAAACAAATATACCATTTTGCATACTGTTTGGTGTGATGGCCTGTCCGGGGAGCCAGATCAATGGCACTACAATTGACTCTCTCTGTGTAACAGAGCCAAAGTGTAGGTGATCAGAAGTCAAAGGGATTCTACAGTAAAAGGCACAGATTTCTGTGGCTGAAACTCGAGAATGGTTGTGTTGCCTCCCTGATCCCAGGGTTGAGGATGTCTGAGTGGGCACAAATATTCTGAAAAGAGAGGGTGAGCAGTCGGAGGTTGTGGCCCACATTGGTATTGATGATCTAAACGGGAAGAGAGATGAAGTCCAGCAAAAGGAGTTGGGTTAAAAAGTTGTAAAGCAGGATTTGCACCCTATGCCATGTGCTAGTGTGGCCAGAAATACTAAGATAATACAGTTTTTAATGCATAGCTAAAGAGCTGTTTTAAAAAGGAGGGAGGCTTTCAGATATCTGGATTACTGGGATTCCTTCCAGGGCAGGTGAGACCTGTACAAGGAGGATAGGTTGCACCCAAATTGGAGGGGTGCCAATATCCTTGCAGGGAGATTTGCTAGTGCCACCAATTTGGCAGGTGTGTGAGAACAGAGCAGTAGGTCAGCATGTAGAGTGGTTTGAGGAGAAGGAACAGGCAGTCTGACGTGTATTTATTTTGATGTAATTAGTACAACAGTTAAGGCAGATGAACTGAGGACCTGGATTATTATACGGACCTAATGATGTTTTGGCCTTTACAGAAACTTGGCTGAGTGTAGGGCAGGACTGGAAGCTCATCGTTCCAGGGTTTAGATGTTTCGGGCATGATAAAGAGGGATGTAAAGGAGTAACAGTTGTATGACTGATTTAAGGAGAATGTTATAGCTGTACTAAGAGGACATCTTGGAGGCTTAATTCAGGTGAGGCCATATGGGTAGAATTCGGGAATAAGTGAGGTGCAATCATTGTGATGGGGTTACAGTATAGGCCTCCCATAGCCAGTGTGCGATGGAGGAATAGGTGGGAGAGAAGATGAACAGGTTGTGTCAAGGAGGCGGGCATGAGAGGGAGAGTTGGACATGGGATGAGGCCAGGGGTGGGGAGATTTTAAAACTGGTGAATTCCATGTTTAGGCTGTCGGGCTGTAGGCTCCTGAGGCAAAATGAGGTGCTGCTCCTTCAGTTTGTGGGTGGTGTCATTGTGACACTGGAGGAGGCCCAGGATGGACATGTCACCCAGGGAGTGGGAGGGGGAGTTAAAATGGTTGGCGACCAGAAGGTGCTGTCATTTGTCACGTGCAGAGCGCAGATGCTCAACGAAACAGTCTCCGAGCCTATGCTTGGTCTCACTGATGTATAGGAGGCCACATTGGGAGCAGCGGATACAGTCAACTTTGTATTCTCTTTTTAGTGAGATCCCAGAAGACTGGAGAATAACCATGCTTGTTCCTTTACGTAAAGAAGGCAACAGGGATAATCAAGGATATTGTAGGCTGGTGAGCCTTACGTCAGTGCTCGTGAAATTATTGAAGATTCTTGGACAGGATTTACCTGCATTTTGGATAAGCATGGATTTATTAGCGATTAAAATTAGCATGGCTTTATGTGGGGTGAGGTTTTGTCTTTCAAACTTGATTGAGTGAGTTTTTTTGAGGAAGTGATGAAGATTGAGAGTAGGGCACTGGATGTTGTCTGTATGGACTTGGCTAAAGCATTTGATAAGTTTGTCATAGTGGGCTGGTCAGAAAGGACAAGTCATGTGGGATCAGAGGTGAATTAGTAAATTGGATCCAAAATTAGTGTCGTCATAAAAGATGGAGAGTAGTTGGGGAGGGGTGATTTTTCTGACTGGAGGTCTGTGA